TTTGCTAACACGCTGTCAACAAAATGCACATTAGAGCTGCTGAAATACACTCGGAGCACAGTGAAAAAAACACATATTTATTTGCCTCATTCATCAACAGTTCAGAGAGGGCCGCTGGTCCCCAGAATGAATTGACGCATGCGCATATGGAAAAGACATTCGTTTGCAATTCAATGTTGATTCTACGTTTATGGATGAAAAATCAGACGACGCACAGGCACTAGGAGGCACTGTCACAACGCCCACTGAAGACCGTTACAGTAGCAGATCTAGACGTCATCCTCGAAACCGCTCATCCGCGCGACAACAACGGAATCAACGGCAATGACATCGACGACAACGGCATCGTCGGCAATCGGACGTGTGTCACGGGTGGATGAGGGGAACATGGTATGTTGACTCCTCAACACCGACGTAACAGATAAACACTGGCTCGTGTGTTTGGTGTTAGAAGGTGCGAGGTTCGAGTCCTGTTGTCTAAGGAAAGCAGGTGCTAACTGTCTCCTGCAGTTGGAGAGGCAGTGGGGTAGCCTAGTGGTTAAAGCGTCCGCTCGTCACGCCGAAGACCCGGGTTCGATTCCCCACATGGGCACAATGTGTGAAGCCCATTTCTGGTGTCCAACGCCGTGATATTGCAGGAATATTGCTATAAGCGGCGTATTACCATACTCACTCACTCACTCCAGCTGATCGACATCAGCGTGTGCACAGACGTCAGGTGAACGTGGAGTCCTGGACATCAATACGTGAAGGTGGGGGTGAGGCCATGATCTGGGGACTGGTTATCTGTCAAGGCAACCTTATTACACAGAGGTATCGGGATGAAGGTTTGCCTTCTGTCGTTCTGTCATTTATCCAACAACAGCCACGCTGTAAATCTTCCAGCATGGCAACGCCGCACTACAGGGCTGACAAAGGACATCCTCAACAGCATGGACCAGCGTCTCCTGACACGAACACTAGCAGGTCTCGCACCGCAATGCTGTCACGGGACTCGACCATATGAAATGTTCTCCAGTGACCACCGTGTTCTGGCAGGAACCTAATCGGACATTCGTGTGATTATCTTGCTTGTCAAGTCCGAAGGCGACCAGTACCACCACTAATCATCAGGTGTTTGACACCATTGGCGACATGCTGTGGCCTGCATGGACATTCGAGGTGGACATTCGTAATATAAATCCTGTGATTGATGACATTCGGCGGGCTGTGAGACTGCTGTCAAACATTTTTTGCCAATGACAAATTGGATGTGTGAATCTTTGAATCTTTGTTTCGTTATTACTTGGAAGGTTTCTGCTAAATCATAGCTCATACACTACAAAAACGCCGCTCTCAATATTATTTATGTTTTACCTTCAAGTAAGCATTCGCTTCGCTTTGCTGAAAAAACCCCACCTAATGGGATTCTACTAAATTATTTAGTAGCATCGTCAGTGTGATTAGTAAACAGCGAATCTACTTTCCTGTCTGGTAGTCTCGAATTGACAGGGGCAACCTATCTCAGTTTCGACGCCAAGACAATATGACATTGCTCAATTCTGCCTTGATCAGAATCAACTTGCCATTTTGGTACATCGATTACGAGTCACTTTGTTACGTATATATTGAGTAGTATATACAATGATGGTACGGGACCAGGTCCCCCCAAGGGCTCAATTTTTTAAATTTTGTTTTAAAAAGGTTAGCAAAATTCTAGCAACTTTTTTAAAGCAAAATTTCAAAAATTGAGCCCTTGGGGGTACCTGGTCCCGTACTATCATGTATATATATACTACTTATTGGCATGGTGACAACTGTTTTCTTTGTTTATGACTGACACAATTTTGTACTTGTTTGCATCTACATGGACTTAAACTGGTGATTGAGTTTGCTGATGTAAAACCAGATTCTTTTGTTATTATCTGTCAATTACTTTTATAGCATTGTTTCAATAAACCTAAAATGCCACTGAAAATAACGATATGTTATTTTAAACTCATATTATTTGTGTCATTTTTAATTGCTTCATTTGTTTCTGTTTCTGTTTAGGTTTTTAGGGGTTTGTACTGTTTTGGTTTTTGTCTTTTCAAATGGTATGCAGCAATTGTCAAGAGGCGACACACACTGATCAAGAAACGAGCGTATATTGATGTGAAGTAAAAATACTACGCGCTTAGTAATTAGCAGTTATGAGAGAAAGGTAGGAAAAGTTTGATTTAATTTGTTAGTAATTCAACCAGTAGTTCTTTAAAAGGTGGTGTGTAATCTCTACTACCTTTACGCATGTACGAACGGCCCCTTACAGGTCTAATTAATACAATTTTTCAGGTTCCAAACTCATTAAAGAGACTCGTGCAAATTCGATGGCCTGGCTTGTTGATTCCTAAGCCTCACTTTGTTTCTCTGCTCAGTTTAACCTGTATGTTGCACATCTTTGTTGCACCTGTATGTTGCACATCTTTGTAAGTGTTACAGCAATTAAACAGAAAGTATCTCAGTTTTCACCATGGCTCTTACAACGTCTTGGCTGAGACGAAATAGCCTCGAGCTCCGGATGCTTGTCGTCCGACACAAAATCTGTTATGTCGATACTTCGCTGAAAGCGAAGTGGGTTCATGGTGCCTGCAAAATGGCCAGCTTGTATCGAATAATGGTTACCTCGAAAATGATGATCCCTTTGATAAATACATTCTCCATTATAGGATGAGGTCATATTATCACGCGGACGTTACTTTTTTAAAGTATGAGAAGCTATGTGTTTTATCCATTTTGTATTATGGTATATTTTGCTGACCAATACTGGTCTTTAATATATATTGCAGATTGGTGAATAAATTGTTTAGATCATTTCATTATTGTTTTTATCGGCTCGATATTTGTGATCTCTCCATATGTTTCATAAACATAAGTGAGATGTAAATAAAGCATCCGTCTTGCATCTAAGCACCTTAGTTACAAGATCAAACACCTTAGTTACAAGATCAAACACCTTAGTTACAAGGTCAAACACCTTAGCGATGCTTTCAAAACGTTTAATGTTAGGAGCGTGGATGGCATTTCCAAGCTTGACGCATCAGTGATAAATATTAGATTATGGACTTGACCTGCAGGAGCAATTTGTTGCGTTCAGCAAACACCTCGGATCATCAAAATCTGATGGCGATTCATAAACACATGTTCACAATGTTGTCGGAATCCTAGGTTCGACTCTGCTTTTAGTCACGAGTTCCTAAGATAATCGATAGAATTTTATGTTTTATTAATTTAGCACAAGCCACCATATTTCGACTCGGAAAGATATGGCACTTTACAATGGTCAAGTAATGTTACACGCAGCACTAATACAGCTACATTGCGCCAAGAAATATTCAGAATGGACTTTGTTACATTATACGCAAACAGAAAGTTAAACCAGGACCTCTCTCTGACGAGCAAACGCATTAACCACAAGGCTACCCACTTCTCCGGAACCGGCTCCGTCGTCCGTAGGTTAAGCGTCTGCCTGTAGAGTGGAAGTTCCGACGTTGGATCCCATTGTTGACAAGCAAACACATTAACGACAAGGCTACCCTAATGCTTTGAGATCGGCTACGGGGTACAGTGGATAGAGCATCTGCCTATCGAGTGGAATGTCCGACATTCCATTTCCGTCTAAATCATGCTAAAAGATGTTACAAAGTGGCACTTAATATGTTCCTTGCCTGGTGCTTGACATTCAGTGGATAAAAAACACTGGTCAGCTGGGAATCTCCTGTGTCTGAATGGAGTATCCATTAATGTCTTTAAGTGGCATTTAGAAGCTGAGATGATGAAGGGAACAATTTTTATTGATAGGCAACTATTAAACTGGGAGAGGGTTTCCTAGTGGGCTAGCACAATATAACCTGCATAAATCCGGATTAGTATAAGCCTCAACATACATATATACATGCGTATTAGTTCAAAAAACATTTTCCTAATTTTATTGATTAAAACATAAAATTTTGCTTTTGTTTGTGATAGGGTTAAACTTGACATTTAAGGATATTGTAACATGAGCAAGAGGACCCATTTTGAATATTTTACAGTGGAACAAGATTAGAGACTGTATCCGACAGGATCACGAAGAAATGTCACATATGAAATCGTACTATCCATTGTCAGAAATACGACAAACCTGACCATGCTGTATCTATACTTTCATCAACCCTAGCCCTTTCTGAAAACCGTGACATTTGACACAACAATGACCTATTGAATGATACATAGCTCAAGCTAAAAAAACAGCGCAAAAGACAATAATGTATGTTTCTGCCGGGGTCAAGGTGGGCTCCACAGTAAAAATGTACATTGTAACACGAGCATGCAAGTTGTCTTGTTTTGTATGTTTCACAGAAATGTGTTTTGGGTTTTACGCCGCTTTTAGCAATATTCCATCTATATCACGGCGGGGAACACCAGACATGGGCTTCACACATTGTACCTACGTACACGTGGAATCGAACCCGGGCCTTCAGCGTGACGAACGAACTCTTTAACCACTAGGCTACCCCAACATGCAACCCCATATGTATACATTTTACGAAATCATAATAATTTCCGGGAATAGGATCACACGCCATGCTGCATCTAAACTTGTATTAACAAAAGTACTTGCCCTTTCACGAACCTCTGACATTCCACAGGAAAATGGCCACATGAAAAACTACAGAACCAACAATAATGTCGGTGTAGGGGTCATTGTGACCGCTACTGTTACAATGTCAAATCATTCCACACAAATGAAAATAGTGCTAATTACCCCTGAAATGATGAACATTAAAGATAATATCCGAACTACAACTAAAACGAGCTCTACAAGAGACTCCAAGTACAACAGCACAGCTTTGTGAATTATTGTGCTTGAATAAGACATCAAAATATGCCCCGAGGCTTGTCGTCAACGTATGCGATGTATCACAGCAAAGACAGCCCCGGGCGCCCATGACACCCCGAGTCTTCTAAACCATATTTAGTTGTCAGTGTACAGGGGGAAGAGAGTTTTAGTTGAACAGCCGTCGGCTGGCAGTGCATGTCGTCTCTTCAAGCTCCACACACGGATACTGAAAAAGTTCCAGATTCTGAAGACCTTGTTCTTGGCTCAAGGTAGGAAGATTTTTATGTTATATCTGTATATGTGCTTGAAAACTGAGAATCGTGTTTGACGTTATCTTAACTTTTCAGCTACGTACCGTGTCAGTTTGACAATGTTTATGTCTGGCTATGGGATAACCACTGATTACAAACCTTCTTGAAGCTGTTTATCACCCCTAAGTTCAGAGATTTCGAATTTACGCCATGATATGTCCCTGTGCCATATGTTGACATATGAATTACTCTACAGTATTTATATAGACTGGCAGAGGTCGAGATATTTCTCATTTCTTAAAGGAAGAAATAAAATTTAAAATATTAAACTTTCAGTGGGATACGAACACTGAAATTCGACAAGCACACATCCCAAAGATCCTTCTGTCCCATCCACCATCATGTCCTACACATAAGGTAGAAACACACAGTATATAATTATAAATATATGTTCTTATATAGGCTTGATGTATGCATGATAAGTGCATGGTAGTGAGAACCCATGTTCATACTACAGTGTTAGTATAAGCTTACCGTGTGTGTTTCAAACTTCTGCATCCGTCCAAGGTCATGATGACATCGAGCCAGAAAAAATATCCACAAAACATATTTGTCCGAGAAGGAAAGGTGTGATGAATATGTATTTCCTGGAGGACACAGGGGCACGTCTGGCGTCATGTTAACGTAGTTTTTACCTCTAACGTGTTCCACTTACATGGACAGTATAACAAAAATACTGCAAAAGCCTTTTTTTAATTTCTTAAAATTTCACGAGTATGGTCACGCTATTGTTCAAATCCGGCATGCAAAGATTCACTTCAAATCTCTTATGCATGTATAATAGCGTTTAAACATGCTCAATTAGTTTCTGTTCAATTTGATAGTTGTGTGTTGATTTGATCGTTTCATTTCAAGGATTCTCGCAGCTATATGAAAACAATGGCGTAAGTCAGAATTCGCTTGGATAAATTAACGGTTAAAAGACAAAATATTATGGATGTCAACTTCTTTATTCTTTAATTAACAATTAGCTCTGAAATTAATGTATTTATCGAAATATTGTAGGAGCTGACTTTAATATTATTTTTAAATGATCATATTGGAAGCAAAAACGTATAATTATGTTTTGTTGTTTTGATCACATGTGTAGAGCATGTGTAACGGTTTCTGTAGAATATGTTGTAGAACATGCTCATGTACATGAGCCAAACAGGCCGCGTTATGTCAGAACAGAAATACATCAAGCGTACAACTGCCCAATAACCCTACATCCGAGAAATAATGGCTAAATACATGTCACTCATGTCGACATGAACACCAAAGCCTTATCCCTGGACAGATGAAACGACTTGAGCTTACGTACATGGGAAGTCGTCGTGTCACGTGATTGATGACGACGTTAGGTCACCCATGTCACGTGACTGCTCCAGTGATATTCCGTCTGTTTTCTTGTGGTTATATATGTTTTATTGCTGCTATTTTGGGGTCTGACACTGGTGACGCTATTGTCGAAAGACAGCTCCACTGTAATACATCAAGTCTGCTTTCTCGAGAAATACGCCAATTTACTTTTGTGGAAACAGACGAAATGTGATATTTTGTTTGCTTCTTTCATTTCATGATGCTATTTATGCATTAAAATTGTCGGGGAGTGTTGGGATTGTTTAAGTTTTTGGATATAATTTAAAGTTTGAATACACGTGAAGTATTTAATGACCATCGGAAATCCAGTTAATGTCACAACGAGAGACGAGCCATGGGGACTGATTTCAAAACTGTCGTCATCTCATGGAACCAAACAAATAAATCATAAACACCAATTGCTTGATACTTACGTTTATCATGTAACGTCAAAAAATATAAACTCCAGATTTGTGGTTGTTCTATTTCTGTGATCTTATCTGAAGTGATTAGAAGTGATTTCACTTAAAGCGACCAACTGTTTAAGTATGCTTCGTCGCGAGCCCGGATGTTCTTCTTGAAGTCGTAGCATGTTATTACTCTGCAACAAACTTAGATTGTATTTTCAAGATTGGGATAGCTATTGCCCGAGGACCTTAACCAGACGTATATTTAAACACAAGTATGCCGATGTATGTTCCAGGAATTCTGTTTGCTCTGCCCAGAATGGTTCACTCTAATTTTGACTCTTCCCATACTGATCACTGAGAAAGAAGGGGGCGGGAGGCTCCCTATAGTTCGCCGGTTTGTTGTTTAAGACCGCTCTCAGCAATATCCCAGTTAAAATCGAGTCTGGACCCGACAATCCACTGATCAACAACATGAGCATCGATCTACAGCACAATCATCCAAACCTATTCCGGTTCATCTGGTTGATCCAGAAAGTTGAAATCAGCGAGAGAGCCAAGCTGACTGAGATAGACTTTGGTGCAGCAGCACCCACCTGAAAAGCTGTCTACAAAGAGAAGGAGAATCGGCTAAGTGTGAGTGAGTGAGTTTAGTTGTATGCTGCACTCAGCAACATTCCAGCTATAGGGGTGTGTGTGTGTGTGTGTGTGTGTGTGTGTCTGTACATATTCGAGTCTGGACCAGACAATCCAGTGATCAACAGCATGAGCATCGATCTACGCAATTTGGATACGATGACATGTGTCAACCAAATCAGCGTGCCTGACCCCCCGAACCTGTTGATCGAATTTTACGGAAAGCATGGGTTGCTGAAGACCATTTCTAACCCGGATGTCCAAGTGTTTTCTCCCTGTACTCTGCAGATATAGGCATGAACACGTGTTTAATGGGTAATGTTATTATGTTCCATGTACTATTGTCACATTCGTATTTTCACAACAATCACAAAGAACACCTGACCAGGAAACCCGTTAGAGTAGTCAGAATTGCAATAGAAATAGAACAAAAGCTGTGTGTTATTAAACATACCATGAAATATAAACTTGCCTCTAGATTATGTCAGTTAATAATGAAGTTGACACATCATTGCTGATCAGCTCCCATGGATATGTTTTGTCAAACAACTTCACGATTGTGCTTGATAACCCGTATTTGTGTACTGCACAATGACTTGCTACAAATATAGAAGATATATATTCCAAGATCAATGAATTGGACCCGCTTCATTATGGAATGTTCAAAACATATGCGTTAGTTTCCGTAGCAGTGTGTACGGGGCATTGCTAATTATGATCATGACAATTAATTAAAGAAAGGGTTTATTTTTTTAAAATAGGAAGGTTTGAGGAAGATGAAAGTTTTGACTGTTCTGTAACTATACACATAGTACCTATATTCTTCGGGGGCAAATGTGTCTTGAGTGTTCAACCTGAACCCATGATCCACCATTATCCCTACAAAACTCCATTTTATCAACCTTTTCAAAAACAGCTGATGTACTGTTAGTATTTAGACAAACCTGACGAACGACGAATGTTTGAAGCGCCCCTCCAATGTGTGGCGGTATAGAGAGTCGTTACATTGGACACTACACACGTTACATTGGACACTACTGACGTTACATTGGACACTACAGACGTTACATTGGACATTACTGACGTTACATTGGACACTACAGACGTTACATTGGACACTACAGACGTTACATTGGATACTACGTTACATTGGACACTACAGACGTTACATTGGACACTACATACGTTACATTGGACACTACAGACGTTACATTGCACACTACAGACGTTACATTGGACATTACTGACGTTACATGGGACACTACAGACGTAACATTGGACACTACATACGTTACATTGGATACTACAGACGTTACATTGGACACTACATACGTTACATTGGACACTACAGACGTTACATGGCACACTACAGACGTTACATTGGACATTACTGACGTTACATTGGACATTACTGACGTTACATTGGACATTACTGACGTTACATTGGATACTACAGACGTTACATTGGACACTACAGACGTTACATTGGACACTACAGACGTTACATTGGACACTACAGACGTTACATTGGACACTACAGACGTTACATTGGACATTACTGACGTTACATTGGACACTACAGACGTTACATGGGACACTACAGACGTAACATTGGACACTACAGACGTTACATTGGACATTACTGACGTTACATTGGACATTACTGATGTTACATGGGACACTACAGACGTAACATTGGATACTACAGACGTTACATTGGACATTACTGACGTTGCATTGGATACTACAGACGTTACATTGGACACTACAGACGTTACATTGGACACTACAGACGTTACATTGGACACTACAGACGTTACATTGGACACTACAGACGTTACATTGGACACTGCAGACGTTACATTGACACTACAGACGTTACATTGTTACATTGGACACTACAGACGTTACATTGGACACTACAGACGTTACATTGGACACTACAGACGTTACATTGGACACTACAGACGTTACATTGGACACTACAGACGTTACATTGGACACTACAGACGTTACATTGGACACTACACTACACACGTTGGACACTTGGACATTGGACACTACACGTTACATTGGACACTACAGACGTTACATTGGACACTACACACGTTACATTGACATTGGACACTACACACGCTACATGGGACACTACAGACGTAACATTGGACACTACAGACGTTACATTGGACACTACATACGTTACATTGGACACTACAGACGTTACATTGGACACTACATACGTTACATTGGACACTACAGACGTTACATGGCACACTACAGACGTTACATTGGACATTACTGACGTTACATTGGACACTACAGACGTAACGTTACATTGGACACTACATACGTTACATTGGATACTACAGACGTTACATTGGACACTACATACGTTACATTGGACACTACAGACGTTACATGGCACAGTACAGACGTTAAATTGGACATTACTGACGTTACATTGGACATTACTGACGTTACATTGGACATTACTGACGTTACATTGGATACTACAGACGTTACATTGGACACTACATACGTTACATGGGACACTACAGACGTTACATTGGATAT